TTTTTTTTTTTTTAACCAAAAAATATATAGGTAAATGTATTTGATCTAATTTTAAATTATTATTTCTATTTTATTTTGATCGTCTTTTGTTTCTGTCTTTTTTTTTTTTTTTTTTTTACAGGTGCAACAGGAGTACTAACAGGTCATCCATTGGATACGGTTAAAATACGTCAACAAACTGAAGCGCAAAATGTTTACCGTTGTTGCGCATCAATTATTCAAAATGAGGGTATTTTGGGATTTTTTTAAAGGTAAAAAAAAAAAACTTTTATTTATTTATCATTAAAGGGATATTTTTAACAATTTCTACTAACTTTTTTTTTTTTCTCATTAGATAATATCTTTCTTTATTTGAATAAAATGTCAGTTCAGTTAAAGATGAAATTTCGAATATAGAAATGTTAAAATTAAAATATGATTTTAATAACTGATAATTGGAATTAAATTTGCAACAAATTCTAAAAGAATAAATGTTTGGAAAAAGTTAAACAACTAAGTAAATAGACTGTAATGATATTAAAAATTGGAAAAAAAAGAAACTTGAAAATGTGCTGGATAAATTTTTAGAAAAGGAATTAAAAATTATAAAATTAAATTTAAAAATTAAAAATTTGAAAAAAATTCATAAAAAATTTTAAAAAATTAAACAAGCTTAAAAATGAAGAGGGAAAAACCTAAAAATAGATTATAATGATATGAAATTTTAAAACTATTTAAATATTTAATATAAATTAATTAATAACAATTACCATTGGTTATTTTTGTAAGATTTTTTTTCCATTTCAAAAGCGAATTTATTTTTTTTTTTTATTGTCAATTAATTATCAAATATTTTACAGGAATGTCAAGTCCATTGATAAGTTTTACAGCAATTCATGCTATAGCATTTGGTGTTTATGGTAATACAATGAAACTTTTTGATAATTATCATAATTTATTTGGATCATTTATTGCTGGTAATATGGCTGGTATTGCACAATGCAGTATATGTATTCCATCAGATTTATTAAAGATTAAATTACAATTACAAGTATATTAATAATTTAACATAAAAATAAAATGCTTAAATTAATTGTAATTAAATAATTATAAGTAAATTATGAGTTAATCAATTATCAAAAAATTTTATAAATTAAAAAGAAAAATGTTTTTATTAGCATAAAGAGTAAATAAATTGTTTTGTTTTGTTTTGTTTTTTCTTTTTTCCTTTTTAAACTATTAACATTTATCTTTCGTTTTTTTTTTCTCTCTCTTTAAAATTATCATTAATCTCTTTCATTTTTTTTCAGAATTTTTTAATTTCAAACAAATTATTAATTTATATTTAAAATATAATACGAAAAAAATTGAAAATTTTACATATTCAGAAGAATAATAGACAAAATTGTATACATCATCATATGATTGTGCACAAAAATGATAAAACAGCATGGATTTTTATCGATATATAAGTAAGTTATAAATTTTTGCATATGTTAAAAGATATAAATTATTGATTCGTTTTCTTTTTTTTTTTTTTTTTTAGCAATATTAAAATTTATTTTAAATTTAATTGAATTTTTTTTTCTTTTTTTGCTTGAAAACTACTACTATTTAAGAGGTACATGGATTACAGTTGCACGTGATGGTCCAGGATATGGAATGTGGTTTGTCACTTATGAATTTTGTACACAAAAATTAAGTAATGATGGTACAGCATCATCGTTAACTACATTTCAATTACTTCTAGCTGGAGGTTAGATTACAAATTTTTAATTATTTTAGCTATTTCTTGATTGATTGATTGATTGATTGTTTAATTGATTAATTGATTAAGTAAAAGAGAAATAAAAGCACAAATTCATAAGATAAAATTTGACATTACAATAAAATTCACTACCATAAATGCATGTGTAAATGAAATTAGATTATAATTTTTAAATTATAATTATATCATTTAACTTGTTATGTTGATTAGATTATGATAATTTGATTACACTTAACATTCGATAATTATTTTTATCATTTATATTTTTAAAATTATTGATGATTTCTTAATCATAATTATATCATTTAATTTATTATGATAATTTGATCATACCTAACATTAACGATGCTTTTTTTTTTCGTTTTTATCCTTGGAAATATGATACAAAAAATAAAATAAAGTAAAAAAAAAAAAAACGAAGATAAAATTTTTAAAATTTATAAAATAAAAATTTTTATTTTTATATTTCAGGTATTGCGGGTATAATGTCATGGATATGTAATTATCCATTGGATGTAATAAAAACACAATTTCAAGCTAATGATAGCATACATTCATATGGAAAAGTTTGTCAAAATATTATGAAAACATATGGTATCAAAGGTTTTTTTTGCTGGCATTTCGGCTACTATTTTACGGTAATATTTATTATTCAATTTTTTTTTTAGCTTACTAAAATAATACATTTATTTATGAGTTAAATTTCGACAAATTTCTTTTTAAGAAGTTTAAAATTGTTATAGAAATTTTACAAGTAACTAAAATTAAAATTAAACTAGCTAATAAGATAGTTTGATAGCTAATAAA